GCTGGGTCATTATGGTAGATCTATCTGTAATTGTTTCAGGAACCTCCATACCATTTTCCATAAAGGCTGCACCACTTTGCAGTCCCACCAACAGTGTATGAGAGTTCCTTTTTCTCCACAAGCTCTCTAAGTAACTTTAGATTTATTTTATTTCTAATCAAAATGAATGTGTTATGTGAGAAGAGAATTTTGCACAATTGTTATAAAGTTACATTGGAAGAAAAATCAAATGAGAATAGCAAAGATAATTTTCAAAAAGAAGAAAAATGGTGGGATTTACTCTACCAGATATTGAAATATATTATAAAGCTGAAACTATTAAAACATTATGGCAATGGAAGAGGACCAGGCAGATCAATGGAACAGAAATACAAATAGGTACAAATAATAACTTGGTCTATAATAAAGGGAGTATTTTCAATAGAGAAATGATGAATAATGATTCAGGGAAAACTGGTTAGCTATTTTGGCAATAAATAAATAAATATTCTCGCTTAATACCATACATCCAAATTAATTACTGATATATACAGCTGGTTTTTAACTATAAAGGAACTAGAAGTCACATGTAAATATCTGATCTTAGAATGAAAAAAGCATAAAATCAAAGTTAGAAATAATGAGGAAAATTATTGATGGCTTTACTCTGTAAACAGTTTTAAATTCTGTATGTCAAAAAACACCATAAACAAAGTTGAAAAGCAAATGGCAAACTAGTTAAAAATATCTACAACTTATAATAATTATAGAAAAGGTTGATATTCCTCACTAAGCTGTCTTTAAAATGTCATTTGACTAAATTAATAAAATGATAAATTAGTAAATCTACCAGAATATGTAAAGAGTGCTCACAGTCCAATTAGAAATAGATGAACACAATGAGCAAAGCAGATGAACAAATAGTTCATAGTAAAAGAAATAAAAACAGTCAATACATATATTTAAAACTTCACTAAGAAAGTAAAGCATACTAAAACAACAGTGAAATGTCGTTTGTTTATTAGACAAATGGTAGAAAGTGATCTTCATACCTTGTCGGTGACAGTGTCATGATACAAACTTTCTAAAATATATTTGAGTAATGTGCACCAAAAGCCTTAAAAGTTATGCATCCCATTTACCCATAAAAGCCACTTCTTGTTATATGTCACAAGGAAATAAAAAATGGACACAAAGATTTAAAAGCAAGAATAATCTTTAGTTAATAGTCCCACAAAATGTGAAAACCATAATACTTGCTAATAGCAGATTTGTAAAATGAATTCTAGTAAATACATATAATGGAATAGCAGGCAATCATTTAAAATTATGGGAGATTAATATGTTATAAAAATTAGTATGATACCTTACATTTTTAAATCACTTTATAAAGTAATATTATGATATTATCTCAATTTTATAAAAAATTAAATGCTTGTATACATAGTCAGGAATATGATACTTCAAAATATTCAAATTCTACTTTGCAAAATATATAAAGAACCCTAAAATGGGATTTGTACCACCTGGTCTTCAACGTTGTTTCAACAGTTATTCATTTCATCACTGAATAATCTTATTAACTCCTGCTCCCTTTTTCTAATTCGCAAACTAGACAGAATTGCCCCTATGAATATCAGACCTCTCTGGATGGCAGAATTAATAAAGTGTCCCTCAAAAGAAAAAGAAAGTGTGGATAAGAAGCTTCTTAGAAAACAGAGCTAGCTCTTCCCCTGGCAGTTATTTGGAGATAATCTCTCTCATCCAGGTTATAGGTGATGAAAATCCTGAGAAAGCAATCAAAATTGGTCTTTAAGTCCCTTCTCCAATAGAAGTCACTCAGACAGGAAAAACACCAATGGTCATGTGATGGAAAGGCTTGTAAAGCATACATTTTTTTTTTTTTTTGGACCGGTAAGGGGATCACAACCCTCGGCACCGTGTTGTCTGCACCACGCTCAGCCAGTGAGCGCACCGGCCATCCCCATAGAGGATCTGAACCCTTGGCCTCGGTGCTACCAGCACTGCACTCTCCCGAGTGAGCCACAGGGCCGGCCAAAGCATACGTTTTAAAATAAACACATGGTCAGAAACATGTTTCCTAGCTGTGTTTGCTGAGGAAGCCTTGGAGCAATGACACCCCTGTATCAGTGAGCACACCTAGCACCCAGACCTTGGTTTCTAAACATCATTCTCCAATTAAAAAAAAAAAAAGTCTCCTTGGAGAAGTGGTTGGTTCCAGGACTGGCAAAGAGAAAATACAAGATGATCCTGTAGTATCTTGTAGGACTGGAAAGTATGAAAGTGCTAAATTAAAAAAAAAAAATAACGGGGACTTGTCAAAAGGCTGTCGAAGTCAACCTGAAGGAGTTTCAATAGCCAAAGCTAAAGCAATTTGAGCAAAAAAAAAATTTGTGAATGATAGTATTATATTTACTACAAAATATAATAAATATCCTTGAGTTTATACTGATATAAATAAAATAATTGAATACATAAATAAATGGAGAAGAGGCAGCTCTTACTCACAGAAGAATTCCAATTAACACACCTAGTAGGAATAAAGGAAATACAAAATTACCATCAGGTGAACACCACAGTAATAGTTTTTCCAGATCCTCAAAGAGAAAAAAGACATTAAGAGAAAAACTGATGAAATTTAAATAAACTCTAGGTTTCTGGTCAAGATGGCAGAATAGACAGTCCCCAGCATCACTCTCTCCCACAAATCAACCAATTTACAACTATAAAAAAGCAACAACAGTCAAGCTGGGGCCTCTAGAGCTCAAGGGAAGAGGAAGAGAGACCTATGGAGTACCTGAGGGTGGGAGAAGCCATGATGAGAGAAAGAAAAATCCGTTCTGACCATTTCATGCCACGGCCGCTTTAAGACTGGAGCTGCTCAGCACATGGAGCTGGAGCTGCTCAGCACACGGAGCAGGAGCAGGAGCTGGCAAAAGCTGCAGCTGTGCCCTTCAGATGGAGTTGCTTGGAGGCAGCAGGGGAGAAGAGGGCTTTGGTGGCCCCCAGGCCAGCAAGACCCCTAATAGGGTTCCTGTGGACCCACATAGGAACAAGGAGCCACGACAGCTGAAAAAAGGAGCCACTCAGAGGCCAGTGAGTCATTTCAAGAGACTGGCACAGGGCCCGTCCCATGAGAAGTATTTGCAGCACAGGCAGTGGGGGAGACGGGCCCACTGGGGGAACACTGGGGCACAGCAAGGCGAGCTGATCTGGCCCCCAATCAGCATAGGACCACTCAGTGGAGACTGGTCAGGAATACAGAATTGCTTGGGGTACAGTCTGATGAAAAGACTCAGGCCCAGATCAGAGTTTCTACACAACCCAGGTGCACTGGGTCTCTGGAGAGCCGGAAGTACCTATAAAGTCAACTATTAAAACCTGAGCTGCTAAAAAGCCTTCCCTAGGGAAGCCGCAGCAAAGCAGCAATTTAGCTAAACCACACAGTTCAAGTACTGGTCCTCACAGGAAGCTCCCCCATTTTAGAAGTAAGCAAAGGACAAAAAATTAGTTCTGGGCCAGGCACACTGCCAGTGCCTCAGGGCCCACCTGGGGTCCTGAGGCTTGGAGCTGAGGACTGGACTCCACCCCAGAACCAGGCACACTGCCAGTGCCAAGGAGCATGCCAAAAACATCACCTCCATGTGGGTAGCCCGCCACAGCCACCACAATAACCACAGCTGCCTCAAAAGCGGCTAGACAGCACAACCACCACGCAGATGGCCCACCAGCCACTCGAGTGCATTGACACAAGGAGAGTCCCCAGCAGAGACCAAAGAAAAGAAGAGAATGTCTTTCTCCACAAAGTCCATTCCAGAGTGACAGAAGCAGCATCTGCTCTATGATAATATTGGGGGTCTTGAACACACCTCTCTGCATTGGGCAGATCATCTAAGCAACTAATCAACCATTACTCTTTCAGGAGAGAAGAAATCTAGAGTAATTAGAGGGGCGAGGGGGAGGGGGAGAGATTGAACAGGGGGCGTAAAGAACAAGTATGATTTGTAACAATATATATGCTAGTAATATTGATTTAGTCAACATATCTCAACATTGAACCCCCCAAATATGTATAATCAATTATGATTCAATAAAAATTAAATAAATAAATAAACTCTAGAGTTTATTTTGTAGTATTGTAGCAATGTTCATTTCCATGTTTTTATAATTGTGCTCTGGTTATGCAAGTTGCTAATATTAAGGGAAGCTAGGTGAAAGGTATACATGAGTTCTCTGTACTATCAGTTTTCTGTAAGTCTAAAATTACTAATAATAGGTTAAAAAACAAAACAAAATAAAATAAGCACATGGAATGAGGAGTGGTATAGTAGAGGCTGTCCCCTGGTTCTCTCTAGAAACCACATCAAACATTCCGAAGAGAAGACTGTCTTCCTGCATCCTTTTACCCCAGTTCTGAGTAGGGGCCAGGATGATCAGAATAATGGTTCCTAATATACCTCGATAAAAAGAGATTCCTAGGACCTAGTCCTAGGAAGTTCTGATTCAGTAGATTTGGGTAGACTTGAGAACTGATCTTTTTAATAAGTGCCTTAGTCTGTGGAACCATTGACCTCGAGTGCCCAGTGGATAATCCTGGCTGTTGGTTCATTTTCTTAACTTAAAACAGCAACAGAACCTGAGAAGATTTTTAAACCTCAAGCCAGAACATTACCTTACCTTTAATTCAGAATAATATTTTATTTGACTCAAGTCTGTGGAATAGGAATCCCACACATCACCCCTCACAGAAGACAATGCCCAAGAAAAGATAACCTGCCCAAGAGCTTCTGAAGGCAAAGGGAATTTTCCGCTGTCTTCTCTGTAAGAGGAGGCCTCCAGGATACTGCCCTTTCAGCTTGCTTTCTAACTCCCTTTCATCTGTGGAAGCAGTTTCTTTTAATCACTTTCACTGGCAAGGGGGACAAGAAGCCCCAACTGTCACCTAAGAAGAGCTTGACCTCATGGTTTCTACACTCTATGCTTCCATGTCTCCTCTCCAGGAGATGATTGACATTGTCAAAGCCATCTATGACATGATGGGGAAATACACATATCCTGTGCTCAAAGAAGATACTCCAAGGCAGCACGTGGACGTCTTCTTCCAGGTAAGTGCAGACACCCTGGGCATGAGCTAAAAGCCTAACTTCGTTCAGTCAACCCACAAGCATCTGAGCAAGTGGTTTGTGTCCAACCCTGTACTTAGCATTGTAGGTAACAGAAAATGATTACAAAACATATTATCCTCAAGGAATAGATGATCTAGTTAAAAAGATAAATATGCACTACAGAAGAGAACAGAGAAGTACATTATTAAGTGTAAGTGGTATAGAACTCGAAGTTCTATAAAAATCCTTGGAAGATCAGAGTAAACAGAGAAGACTTCATTACTCACATTTGTGTAGGTATTAAGCATCTGTGTCTGGGGAGTAAGGGGAAATAAGATTAGAAACTGGGGTAGGGCCAGCTTGTGAGATCATTAAATGGAAGAGGTTAGCCTTGCTGTGATAAAGAATGGGTGGCTATTGTTGATACTTGAGTAGAGAAGTAGCATGATCGTAGTAGGGTTTTAGTAAAAACTTAGCCTAACAGTAGAGTATCAAAGACTGTCAGACCTCACTCTAGTCTAATCTCCCACTTTGCAAATGGGAAAACAGGCCTCTATGGACTTGTGCAAGTTAACACAGGAAGTGACAGAGACAGAACCAGAACTTCTTGTGTCCAGTGTTCTTTTTGTCAGATGGACAGACCAGTAGAGAGTGTAGGGGAGACGTGATAGGATGTCAGCAGAATAATCCAGAAGTGAGGTGATGAGTGTCTGGAGAAAGTCTTGATTTAAGGAAGCTCATGGAGGTCAAAGTGCTGTAACCAAGGCCTGATTGGAGTCGTCTGGCCAGTGAAAGACCACTTTAATTCTTGGAGTGAAGTTGATTAACAAATGCAAGTTTTGGGATGCAGATTACCAGGTTTTTTAAAGTGCTTCCTGTTGTGTCTTTCAGAAAATGGACAAAAATAAAGATGGCATCGTGACTTTAGATGAATTTCTTGAGTCCTGTCAGGAGGTAAGGAGAGATCTCAGGACACAATACCTCTAAATCCAGGAGAGGAAATCTGGGACTCGGGGACCTGCAGAAGGAAGTGAATGAGAATCCTGCACATACCTGTGACTCCTCCGATCAGAGCCAACAGCAACCACAACAAGAACTCAGCAGCCCAGCCATCCCCAGTCCTCAACCTGGCCTGTGGTTGGTCTTGGCTAAATTCAGGACTGAGCAGACAGCCTACATAGGGGTCTGGGGGAATGTGTAAACCCAGAAGGGGTTCTGTGAGTTTATGATAAAAGAGAGAGAAAACTCAAATTATCAATCTAAGAAATGAAAAGGGCAAAATCACTATAGGTTTTACAGACATTAAAAGATAATAAAGTTCATTATCCAATAAATTTGACAACTTATATGAAATCTACAAATTCCTTGTAAAACACAACATATCAAAACTAACACAAAAAGAAGTAGAAAATCTGACTATGTCTTTTTTAAGAAATTGAATCTATAATTTAAAACTTTCTCCCAGAGCAAATGAAGGCTCAGATAGTTTCACTGGTACATTCTTCCAAACACTTAAAGAAGAAACAATACTAATCTTATACAAACTCAGGAAATAGAGAAAATAGGGAAACTTCTCAACTTGATTTATGAGGTTATCATAACTCTTACATGAAAACTCGACAAGGCCATTACAAGATTGAAAAAATGTCAGGCTTAATATATTCCTTTTGAACATAGATGCAAAAAAAAAAATCAAATTCAGCAATTTATATAAAAGCATAATACATCATGAACAAATGGGGTTTATTCCAGGAATGCAAGGTTTGTTTAATATTCAAGAATTAGTCAGTGTAACTAATCACATTAATAGAATAAAAAAGAAAAATATATATGATTATCTCAATAAGTGTACAAAAGCCATTTGATAAAATGCAATTGCCCAGAGCTTCTTAAAAGAAGCAACTCACTATTTTACTGGGTAATTTATTTCTACTGAATCTCCTCTTTAAAGCTAAAGAAGGTGCTTCTTGCTTTGAGTTGATCACTTCCGAGGTCCCCACTCCACACTCCTTGTTTCTCATACTCTCGTTGTGTTCTTTCTGCATAGGAAACCCATGTTTGAGATTTGTTCTGCAAAGTTACAGAGCTTCTCAGGGAGGAGCCTCAGAGTTATAACCATCCTCCTTTCCCCTCCTCTTTTCCCAGGATGACAACATTATGAGGTCTCTCCAGCTGTTCCAAAATGTCATGTAACTGGGGACACTCAGCCATCCAACTCTCAGAGACATTTTACTAAAAACAACCACCTTAACACCCTGATCTGCCCTCGTTCTGATTTTACACATCAGCTCTTGGGACAGAAATACCTTTTACACTTTGGAAGAATTCTCTGCTGAAGACTTTCTATGGAACCCAGCATCAAGTGGCTCGGTTTCTGATTGCCAGCTCTTCCTCTTCCCTCTTCTTGAAAAAGAAAAGATGAAATTTGAGTTTGTTTTGAAAGCATGCTCATCTCTTCACACTGCTGCCCTATGGAAGGTCCCTCTGCTTGAGCTTAAACAGTAGTGCACAATTTTCTGCTTAGGTGCCCCCAGCCCACCGCCTCCAAGTTGAGCAGACCTTGATGAATCTGGAAGCAAGAGGACCTGAGCCAAATGCACACCATCTTCTGATGGCCTCCCAAACCCATGTGCCTGTTTCTCATCCTCTGGTGGGAAGAATGAGTGTTATACGGAACAATTAGGATCTACCATGACTAGATTGGGAGTGCCAACACCTAACATGTGTAAGATAGGATTGAATTACTAAGCATGGCATTGTTTGATGACCCAAACTACCCATGTCATTTGTTTCCAGAGGCAATAATTCTCTCACACTAACATCTGTGCTGGTAGTGCAAGTCTCTTAATATGCCCAGGAAGGGAGCAATTACCCACTGGTCCATACCTCCACTCCATCCCCTGCTCAAGCCCAGCAATGCATGTTCCTCCTGGAAAGTCCAGAATGCCTGCAAATTGCTGTGATTTTATACCACGGTCTAATCAATAAACAGAACTATTTCTTACTCTCTCAATCATTTCTTCCATGACTCCATTGGGCAGAAGAGGTAAGATGTGAAAAGGGAAGGTTAATCCATTTATTCAGCATGCAGTTGTTAGTATTTACTCTCTGCCCAACACTGTTCCAGTGACATTATCCTCTCCAGCCCCCAAACCATCCCAAGCAAACATCTAATTCAAATGCAAATTCAATGACCATATGCAAATGCAACTTCAAGACAAGACCCTTCACAACACCTCCCTTCCAACAAGATTGCCAAACCCAAGACTCTTTAATGTGGAAAATCTGAAGCCCCATGTGGTATGGTTGGAAACATAGAGATGAAAAGGCAGACAGAACCTCCTGCTGTGGGATTTGGAGTCCAGGGGTTGATCACGTGGCTTCAGCCTGTAATCAGCAAATGATTACTTATGTTGAACACTGTGGGTTTTGGTTCCCCATTTCACATCACATTAAAAAGATTTAGAGCTAGCAGTAGCATTCTTGGAAGGAAAGCAATTTATGGGGTCCCTATTATGTGCCGGGTGCTGCTCTAGGGGCTTTATATACATTATCTTATTTTATGCTCACAGTAGAGCACTCCAGAAGGTAAAGTCCTGGTTTTATTACTGAGGACACTGAAGCTCAGAGAGATAAGGGGACCTGTCTAAGGTAGCACAGCTGACAGGGACTCGGAAGGGAGTTTTTTTTCTTTTAAGGTAAAAATAGTTTTTACGTCCCTTTTCAGCTTATAAGAGTAATATTTGGGAAAGAGAATATATATGCACAAGGTATTATTAGCTAAATATCTTTTCAGTTACTCATGTTTCAGTTCATTCTTGCCATGTACATACATATTTAACAGAAATCTAAAAGTAATAAGATGCATCATTTTGTATTCTACATTTATCTTTTTTCTTTTGTTTTTTATTATATATACTTATGGGGTAAAAAGTTGACTATCAATAGTTGTGTACAACGTGTGATAGTCAAATCAGGATAGTCAGCTTATTCATAATTACAATATGTACTCATTCTTTGTGTCCGTTAACCAATTTCTCATTTACCCCCCTTTCTAACCCCCTCCCCTCCCCTTTCCACCTCTAGTAACCACAGTTCTGTTCTCTCCTAGTTCAACGTATTATTGTGATTGTTGTTTCTCTCTCTCTCTCTCTCAATCTCTCTCTCTCTATTGTTTACTTGTTTATTTATGAATTCAGCTCCCTCATATGAGTAAGGACATGTGGTCTTTCTCTTTCTCCACCTAGGTTGTTTCACATAGCATAGTTTTCTTCAGGCTCATCCATGTTGCTGCAGATGACAGGATTTCATTCTTTTTTATGGCTGAGTAGTACTCCGTTGTGTATATATACCACATTTTCCTTACCCAGTCATCCATTAATGGACATTTCAATTGGTTCCATAGCCTGGCTATTGTAAATAGAGCTGCAATAAACATAGGAGTGCAGGTATCACTTTGACATGATGATTTCCGCTCCTTTGGATATATACCCAGTAGAAGTATTGCTGTAGTTGTTTAAGGAACCCCCATACTGTTCTCCATAATGGCTGCACTAGTTTACAGTCCCACCAACAGTGCAGAAGGGTTTCCCTTTCTCCACATCCTTGCCAGCGTTTGCTATTTTCTGTCTTTTTGATAATAGCCACTCTAACTGGGGTGAGGTGGTATCTCAAAGTGGTTTTGGTTTGCATTTCCCTGATGATCAGTGATGTTGAGCATTTTTCATATACCTGTTCACTATTTGTATGTCCTCCTTTGAGAAATGTCTATTCAGCTCCTTTGCCCGTTTTTAATCTGATTGTTTTTTCACTGTAAGTTTGTTTGAGCTCCTTTTATATTCCAGATATTAACCCCTTGTCAGGTTTACAGTTTGCAAATATGTTCTCCCATTCTGTAAGTTGTCTTTTCACTCTGTTGATTGTTTCCTTTGCCGTACAGAAGCCTTTTAGTTTGGTATAGTCCCATTTGTTTATTTTTTCTTTTGTTGTCTGTGTTTTTGGGGTCTTATTTTTACGGTCTTTGTCCACAGGGAGATTAAACTCTTCCCACACTACTAGGGAATTCTGCTTCACTCTGAGGAACTGAGGGTACCTCACAAATCTTATTCATCTGTAGTCAGTTCAGAGAGGCACAGGTATTCTTTGGATCCATGTAACAGATTAGGAAACTGATGCAAAGAAGGGGAAAGTCTCAGTTGACCGTGGATCACTAGCAGAAGCAGGTCACCACAACATCTCATGCATGCATGAAATATTCCCAATCTGATGATCATTGGTTCCTGCCTATGGTTGGAAATTGTGGGGCCTGCAGCTCTGTTCTTCTATTTGGGCCTCCTGAGTGCAGCCATGTGGTCCCCTACATCTGCTGGACATGTGGCCAGTCCGCAGCTAAATATCCACTTAGGTCTATGTAAGATCTGAACCTGCATCATGAGGCTGTACAATGTCTAGGCCAGTAGTTCTCTTCATGGCTGCATATCAGAATCACCTGGGGAACTTTGAAAAATGCCAGTGCCTGGGCCCCACCCCAAATCAATTGAAGTAAAATCTCTGAAGACAGGGGTTTTTCCCAAGATGGGCTAAAGAAGTCTGATGCTAGTCCCCTCACAAATAGAGACCAAAACAACCAACAAACCAATATATTTTGACTGGAATGACTGAGGAAATGCACTGCAGAGCACCAGGGAGAGTGATGAGATCCTTGTGAAGCATGGAAGAAGGGGACAGCACCATAGAGAGCAGAGCAGGGCATCCAGCCTCTACCCCACTGCAGGGACTGCTCAGAATCAGGCACAGAGGAGGTAAGCTGGAAAATACCCCAGTGGTTTCCACACCCACCACAAATGCCAGCAATCCCCACCACAAGAGAGGCCCTCTGTTTTTCCAGGACCCAGGTCCAATTGGAGAGTAGCTGAGTTAGTGTAACTGCACATTCTCACAATGGAAGCCCAGGGTGAGGAAGATCTCTCCTTCCCTGAGTGGCTACAATGTGGCACTGTCTTGGAGCCATACCTGCAGCTAGAGTGTGCCTGCCCCAGACCCAGTGAGATTAACTCCCTTTGTCGGGAGGCCCTGCCTGCATTCTACCACATTCACCCAGGAGCTGGTGGGACCATGGCCCAGGCTGCCTGGAGCCTAGGGCAGACAGAAAGACTGAGGCCCCAGCATCTGAACCCATGCAGCTCCCCCTCCCCTCACAGGCAAGCAGGCAGACCAGCTGAGCACAAAAGCTATCAAGGTGCAGAAGTTCCCCACATTCTCAGCCTGCCCTGCATTGCCTACAGACCCACTGAACCCACAGGTAACCACACTAGCCCACAGCCAGCCCAGTGGTAGCCCCACCTCCCCCTGCAACACTCCACACATTTGCATGAGCACTAGCAGGATCACAACCCTGGCTGCCTGGAGCCTAGGCCAGACAGAGTGACCAAGGTCCTGGTGTCTGAGCCCATGTGTCACTACCTCCCCTCCCCCCTGGGCTGGCAGGCAGACCAGCTGGGTGGGGAAGCCACCAGTAAGAGGTTATTCCCCACATCTGCATGCACCTTCCCTCCACCACCCGAGGACCCACTCAGCCCATGGGTGCCTGTACCAGCAGCCCAGCAGTGGCCCCTCCTTTCCCCACAGCCCTCCACAGAGCTACTGGAGCCTGTTGCTTCTTTGCAAATTTGCTACAGGTTCAACAGCTGATCTGGCAGCCCTTTACAGAGCTGCCAGGACCTCTTGTGCAGTGTATACCTTCTCCCAGACCAACAGCAGACTAGGCAGGGGCTTTGATGCTCCAAGGCAGGCCTCTACAGAGCTGCTGAGCTTGGCTGCACCCTTGTAAGCCTGCACCAGGCTCAACAGCTGATCAGGCAGCCACCAGCATAGCTGCCAAGCCCTGTGGCACCTGTGTACACCTACTCCCAGGCCAGCAATTAATTGGGTAGCAGCTCTTCCTCCCCCCAGCCTGCCTGTAGAGAGCCACTGGGTCCTGCGGTATCCATGCAGGCTTGCTCCAGGATCAACAATTGATCTAGTAACCCTCTACAGAGCTGCCAGAACCTGCTAAACCAGTGTACACCTGCCCACTGACCAACAGCAGATCATCTACCCCAACCAGAAACTGCTGAAGGCGCCACCACCTAGGACACAAAGGAACCCACAGACAACTTCACGACTGAATACAGTTGAAGAAGTCACATGAAGTCCACACTACCGCACTCACACAGATCCATACTTAAAATGCCTAACCCAACTGTCAATATGGAACACTTCTACAGGAAAGAGTCTCTCCCTTCAAAAACCACTCCTAGAATTAAAAGAAGCAGCTACACCACCAGATGCCCATACATCAATGCAGAGATATAAGAAGGATGAAAAAAAAAGGGAAACATGACTCCCCCAAAAGAAGACTACAATTCTCCAACACCAGACCCTGAACAACAGTAATTTGATGAATCACCTGAAGAGGAATCCCGAATGACAATACAAAGGAAAGTCAACATGACAGATGAAAAAAATAGATAGAAATCACAATGAAATAATAATAATAATTTAAAAATCCAGGACATGAATGAGAAATTCAACAAAGAGATAGAAACAATAAAAGAGAACCATGCAGAAATCCTAGAACTGAAGAATTCATTCAATGAAATAAAAAATACAGCTGAAAGCATAAGCAGCAGGCTAGAACAAGCAGCAGAAAGAATTTCTGAACTAGAAGACAGGCTTTTTGAATTAACACAGTTGGACCAAAAAAATTAAAAAGTTTAAGAAAATGAAGAAAATCTATGCGATCTTTCTGATAACCTTAAATGTACAAACATCTGTATTATGGGTGTACCAGAAAGAGAAGAGAAAGGAAAAGGTATTGAAAGCCTATTTAATGAAATAATAGCCCAAAACTTCCCAATATTGGGAGAGATACAGTCTTTAAGATCCAAGAAGCTCAAAGATCCCCAGATTCAAACCATAAAAGAACTTTTCCAAGACACATTATAGTCAAATTGTCAAAAGTCAAGGACAAAG